GCATCCTCCTGTGCAGCCCTGTGCCTAAGGGCTTTCTCTGCATCCTCTCCCGTGCAGCTTCTCCTGAATCTGTGTTACTGTCTAGCACTTTCTCTGAAGCACATACTCTATCCATGATGGGTTTCTTTATGATCCCTTCACACACATCACTTTGAATATACTCGTTCTTCCACTCCTTCCTTCCCAAACGGTTCCTGTTTTCACTAAAGGTGCTCACACCTCTTCTGCCCTCCACGGGCACCCATGCATGCATGGCATGTACTCGCAAACCCACATATGCAGTTAGAAAAATCTAGTTCTTAAGACTTATAAAGTAGTATGTGTGTGAGATTACGGTGTTTTAAAGAGCACTTGCGTGCAGACTGTCCCTGACAGCAAATGCTCTTGTGCAGAGTTGAAAATAGCTTACTTTCCCAATAAGAGTGCACTTTCCTTATTTTTACATTTAAAAATTTAGCTGGGATCTGATGGCGCATGCCTTGAATTCCATGACTAGGGAGGCAGGGGCAGGAGGACCTCTGAGAGTTAGAGGCCAGCTTGTCTGCAGAACAAGTTCCAGGACAGCCAGGGCTACCCAGAGAAACTCTGTCTCAAAAAACCAAAACAACAACAAACATTTTAAAATGTTATTATTAATGACTTTATTTATTTTTTAAGTTTAACCATCTATAAATCAAACTGTACGTGGCACACGTTACTTGAGAGTTTCATATGCATTGAGCATGTTCACCTCCCCTCCCCTACAGTGTTTTTGTTCTCAAAGTCATCAAATTCACAAGTGATGTCTTTAAAAATTCAAAATATATTTGAGTTTTGCCTATATCTTTTCACATTAACTCTTTCCTTTCTTTTTGTTTAAGACAGGGTCTCTCTATGTAACAGCCGGCCGTCTAGAACTCACTCTGTACATCAGGCTGCTCTCGAACTCAGAGATCCACCTTAAAGGCGTGCGCTACCACTGCCCAGCCACAATAACCAACACGGCATTTTAGCTGAGGCTGGCTTGGCCTCCTGACTCTTCTGCCTCAGCCTCCCACGTTCTAGGGCTACAGGTGCACACACTGTCATCCTTGGCAGCATTTTGCATCAATCAAAAGAAAAAACTATGTGAACACAAGTGTCAGGAAAATTCTACACCTGGACTTATGTGACAGGTTACAGTAAAAATGCTGGCACATTCTAAATGCTGTATGATACGACCTTCAGGCCATGAGGATAAAGTACAGAGGAATGTAAAATGAAATGTATGTTTGGGCTTGAGCTACACGCTTGCTTTGCAAACCTGGATGACTGGCCTTCAATCCCGATGCCACAAGGGGAGGAGAGAACCAACTTCTGAAAGCTGGTTTCTGACCGCCACACACGCACTGTGGCACATCATGCCCACACACACACACTCACACGCTCACACACAATGGCAGCACACCCTGTGCCATCTCTCCTATCTCAGTCCTGTATACTTTCCCCTGAACATAGACTCAGTACCTTAAAGTGATAACTAGTTGGGACTTTTTTTTTTACTTGTGCTGGGCAGCACTCAAGAGGCAAGCATTCTACATCTGAGTGCATCATGAGCCCACGGTTTCTGTGCGCAGGAGCAGTGGGGCACTGCGTTCATTCATTCAGACTACAGACACGGGCTTTTCTGCTCAGTGGTTCAGGGTGTACAGATTCCCTGATAGTTAAGAAGTTGCTCGTTCCTCTTTCGCCAGGTGAAATGTCCCACCATGACGTCCTGGATGCGGCTTCCAAAGGAATAAACGTCATTCTCTGTGAACACAGCAACACCGAACGAGGCTTCCTTTCCGATCTTCAAGAGATGCTGGGTGCTCATTTGGAGAATAAGATTAATATTATCGTGTCTGAGACAGACAGGGACCCTCTTTGCGTGGTTTAGAGAGCAGAGGGCGTCAGCGACACAAGCTGTGCATCATTTGGATGGAAACAGGGACGTGCAGGGAGAGTTACGGTGCTGTCGCCTTCCTGCAGAAGCGGGCTCCAAAGACGTCGTTCAAGTTCATCAGTAAGGTTCCAAATGATGGCTCACAAGGTAAAGAGTGCAATAAAGCCAAGTATTCACTATAAACTCTTGAAAAGGACAACTAAAACTTGTATATCACTAGGCGTTTTTGTTTGGTTGTTTATCTGTGACAGAATCTCCTACAGCCCAGGCTAGCCTCCAACGCGCTATTTAGCTGAGGCTGGCCTTGGACTTTTGATGCTGGGGTTAAAGGCACACACTTAACACCCGTGAAGTAGCTCTGTATAGACAGGGTGTCGGTCTCAATGACCTCTGCCCTCTGTTTAATTTAAACACTATTTACAAACAGATGTGGAGCTTGCTGTGGCAGTGCACAACTATAACCCAGTTATCTGGTAGGCAAAGCTGGGAACTTATGCCTTCAACCCTGCCTGGAACCCTGTCTGAAAAGAAAGAGGAAAGCAGCTGAGTTGGCTCGGCTGTTAAACATACTTGCTGCTCCTACAGTGGAGCGGAATTCAGTTCCCAGCACTAACACGGCAGCTCCAGGGCATCTGATGCTCTCTGATCTCCGTAGGCGCCACACTCACGAAGACAAACCAACAACAGAAATGCATTTAGAGGGGCTGGAGAGATGGCTCCGAGGTTCTAGAGGTCCTGAGTTCAATTCCCAGCAACCACATGTGGCTCACAACCTTCTGTAATGAGATCTGGTGCCCTCTTCAGGCCTGCAGGTAAACATGTAGACAGAACACTCTGTATATATATATAAAAATAAATCTTTTTTAAAAAATGGATTTAGATTTTTTTTCCTAAGTGGCATTTTGGGTGATGAAGTAAATCTATGTGCTAAGTTGGGCACCAGAAATCTTTTTTTTTTAAATCTTTTTTTTTTTAAAAAAAATGATTAAAAAAAAACCCATTGGTGATCACTATCTACATTTGTATTTATTCCTATAATTTTGGGGGTTTTTTTTGGTGGTGAAGGGATCAAACTAAGCACTCTGTCCATTCACTGCTGAAGCTGGCAGCATGAAGCTGGGAGAGCAGGGCCTAAAAATGAGGCAGAGTAAAGTCTCAGGCGACAGGCGGCTTTATTCAGAGCGTCAGACAGTTTAGACTGAGTTAAGCAGAGTCACCTGAGTAACGTGTGCAGTCACACGGAGAAATGGCACGGGGAAAAACATGCTTTTTTCATAGAGGCAAATGAACAGATAATAATAGCCAGCTGCAATAGTTTTGTGTTTTTGCAAAAAAAAAAAAAAAAAAAAAAAAAAACAAAAAACAAAACCCGATGCTTGACTTGTTTTCTCACAAGCACTCAGATTTCCCCGTGAACAACTCTATTCTACTATTTTCTCTCTCTCTCTTTCTCCCCCCACCCCGAGACTGGGTTTCTCTGTATAACAGTCCTGGAACTAGCTCTTGTAGACCAGGCTGGCCTTGAACTCACAGAGATGCGCCTGCCTCTGCTTTCCGAGTGCTGGGATTAAAGACTGCACCACCACTGCCCAACTGTACAGCTTTATTCTTGAACTATGTTCCACATTGTGAACGGAGGGTCACGTTTCTCACCGATCTACACAGTGGCTTGTAGTTTTGTTGCTGATTAATGGTGCTCAACACTCAGACTAGGAGCAGCGATTACCACACAGCGTTTCCCGCAGGTGTTCTACAAGCCAGGCAGAAAGACACATTCTGTATGCCCTTTCTTAGAAGAACCTAGAGTGTGCTTGTGCGCACGTGTATGTGAGTGTATGTGTGCATGCGCGCCAGTGCACATGCCAGTCAAAACCAGAAGGGGAAGAGACGAGATGAAGAGATTTTTAAGGACAAGGAGGGTAATGGGATAAATGAGATAATAAAGCAGGGGGGGGGATGGCTATTGGGGAGGGGATCAATGAGGACCAAGTACAATGATATATATATTCCATATATATATATGGAAATGTGTGTATAAATACATGCATACATACATATATGGAAATGTGTGTGTATACATGCATGCATGCATACATACACACACACGTATGGAAATGCCACGAGGAACACAACACCTTTGCATGCTAGCCTAAAAAAATAAAAACAAGAGTTCGCCAGGTGAATTACACCTCCAGCCCAGAAGCAAATCAGGCAGGAATTATAACTTCAAGTTCCTACACCTCCTAGACGGGAAGGAACTGAGCTGCCCAGAGAAGTGAGTACGTAGTTAATATGCCATTGTGCACACGAGAGCTGGAAGATGCACTCAGAATCCTCAAACTCTTCAGAACAACCAGCTTTATAGATGGACTATACACACTGGTCTTCTATATTAGTAACATCTAGTAAAAAAAAAAAAAAACAAAAAAACAAAAAAAAAACCAACCTATAAAGCTGGGCATTGGTGGCTCAGCCTTTAATCACCGGGCAGGCAGAGGTAGGCGGATCTCCGTGAGTTCGAGGCCAGTTTCATCCGCAAAGCAAGTCACAGGACAGCAGGCTTGAGAACAACGAAGCGAAACACTAAGAAGGCAAACGCAAGGATGTGCACATTACTTCATGTTTACACGTGGCGGTTACCATAACAATGACACCAGGTACATGGAACGGGACCTGAACGTGGACCCCAGTTCCGACGCAGAACTCTGGGCATGTCTGCGGTGCCCTGGCTGCACTGGCAGGCAGAGACGGCTGACTCAGACCTCATGGCAGCCCATCCAGCCTGAGAGGAACTTCTGGTTCAGTGAGGCCTTGTCTCAAGGTAACAAGGCAGAAAGTAAAAGACACTTAGCGTCTTACTCTGACCTCTGCACAGATGCGTGCACGACACACACACACACCACAGAAAGCAAAGTGCAAACCAGCAAGTCTCATGTGATCACTGTGTGTTTATTTAGCGGCTGCTGTCTTCTGAAGCAGGCATCGCTGTGGCTCAGACTGACCTAGAACTCGTGAGCTAGTGTAGGCCTTGAACTCATGCTTCCTCCTGCCTCCCCTTCCGGTGTTGGGATTACAAATGTAAGCTCACATCTTGCTGCTGTTGTGTGGAGAAGCAGTCTGCCTGCCTGAGTCCTGAACGGTGGGATTAAAGGTGTGTGCCAGCTATACCTGCGTGCTGTTTAAGAAAATAAAAATTGCCAATGTACAAGAATAATGAAATGTTTCTATTTTCTACTGTCCTGAGAACAATTATTAACATGTACATCGGGATTTTATTTTTAAGCCTGGCTTCTCGTTTGTATCATAAAATCAAGGTCATGGCACAGATGCTAACTGAACTAAAGATGCTGTGTTGGTTGGCACACGCCCTATCTGTTCCTTACACTTCTGCCACCACCTCAGTTTAATCGTCCCGACTGTCCCAGGCATGTGCAGCCTAAGTCCACGAGGAGAAAGCTGGGTCATCTCAACCCACTGGATACCTTTTATCACTTCAGAGAACGCAGGTGGAGCCCGTCCGTCCTGGCGAGCTCTGTGTGACCCCATCTTTGTGCTTTCGCATCTGAAACAAGTGCACTTGTAGGAATTCAGCTCAGGGAGCGTTAAATGGCCCTCAAAAACTAGGGATAGCATTCAGTATAAAATAAAATAATCCAAAAACATCCAGTTCCAAATAATCCCTGAGCACACTGTTCATCCAGCAAGAAGTCTCCAGAGGTAATAAATTAAAGGCACATTTTCCCCCCAACTCGATGACCACCGCACAGTATTAGAGACAGTAATCCGGCCAGCAAAGTTCACAGTTGATGATCTGCCCCTTCAACAGTCAGTCTTGTATGCTGGACAGAATGATCCAGTGCTGGATGTAACCCAGCATTCTTACTAAGACGCAGCAGCTGGGGCACATGGCTCTTCACCTACAGGAGACAGTCTAAGCCTCCTCCTCTTCCTTCTCCAGGAAATCAGCCAATGTTCCACTGTCAACAGGAATTAATAAATATTCTACACCATCAGTTCCCTACAAGATAAAAGAATACTCCATATGTTAATCCTTGGCAAGGTCTGGACTTTCTATTACACATTAAACAAACCAGCAAATAACAACAAAACCCTGGACTTTTAAATTACTATCATTATTATTTTTTGGTTTTTCGTATTATTTGGTTTTTCAAGACAGGGTTTCTCTGTGTAACCCTGGAAGTCCAGGAAGATACTCTGTAGCCTAGTCTGGTCTGGAACACAGATTCACCTGCTTCTGCCTCCCGAGTGCTGGGATTCAAAGTGTGCACCACCATCGCCTGATTTGATTTTTATTTCTTATGCAATTTCTAAATATCGATGAGTAAGCATTTAAATACCTAAGTAGAAAACTCAAGGCAGGCATGGGGACGTGACTCTAAACCCTGAGGCACAGGCAAGCACTCTAACAGAGGTCTGGAGGGCGGAGAGGTGACTGTTTTCTTCACTGTGCTTTCAGGCGTGTCTGACCCTGTGACACTGTCATGTATGAAGTTCATACGTGAACCATGCAGCACATTTACAGCTGGACACACCTTGCCCTTTCCAAACCGGACAAGAGCGACTTTTTGTTCTACCTGCCCCGTTTCAACATGGTTCATCTTCCTGACTTCTGAAGCAGGGCTTTACTGTGTAGCTGTGGCTGGCCTGGAACTCACTCTGCAGACCAGGCTGGTCTCCAGCTCGCAGAGATCTGCCTGCCCCTCCTCCCTAGGGCTGGGACCAGGGTGTGCTCCACCACACCCACCGTTCACTTGATTTGAATACATTCAAGGAGCTCTCATCCAAAACTATCTTTTGGGGTTGGGAAGACGGCTCAGCAGTAAAAGCACTGACTGCTCTCCCCGAGGATCTGGTTGGATTCCCAGCACTTGCCTGGCTGCTCACAACCACCTGTGATCCAGGGGATCCAACACCCGCTTCTAGTTTCTATAGACACCAGGCTTGCACACATGGTGTAGATACATACAGAACATACATACACGTAACGAAGTCATTAGAAATAATTTATTGACTCATTCCTCTTTAGCGCTGCCCTGCACTTCACCTCTCTAGAGCTGTCCACAGGACGCCTCCTCCTTTCTCTCAGCACGCAGAGCAAGTGCCCACTCTTACATTCCTCCACGCCCCGGGTGTATCAGTTTGTGGCTTCCTGGACCCCAGAAGCACCTGACACCATAGTATCATTCATTCTCTTGTCCCTTGGTTTCTGTGACATCATTTCTTCTTGTCTGATTTTTCCTACCTGCCTGTGTCCTCAGTGAACACTGTGAGCCAACCCTCACGGCCAAGGCTGTGACAGCCGTCTCCTGCCTG